AGCACTTGGCTGTATACAATCCCTGCGAAGAGCTCCCGAGTATTTCCACGTTACTTGCAATTGCCTCTCCACATACAATTTAACTAATTAAACCTCTCATACAACATTTTTAAATATCTTTCATTACCAAACCTACAAACCTACCTACCCTTGAAACTGTCTTCTCTTTTGACCTGATACAATAAAGACAAAGTTCCTCCTCCTGGGAAAGGCTGATCCTTACCCATGGACTTGGAATCTGTCCGTTCTCAATTCCCAAGAACTTTACTCCCTTGATTGTCCCAATGGATGTAGCATCAATCTCCCTCTATTGGATTACACCCATTAGCAGATAATCATGTTTGAGTACTTTCCACCTTTTAAAAAAATCTTCCCACACCTCCCTTTAACTACTGCTCCACTCCTCTGTACCTTTCATAACCAAAAGTTTCTATATACACAGAGTTTCTATCTCCTCATCTCTGATTCATTCCTCAAACCATGCAATTAGGCTTTCACTCCACCACTCCACAGAAAGTGCTTGTCATGGTCACCAATGACTTCCATGTAGCCCAACTCAATGGTCACTTCTCAGGGCTCATCTCACTTCGACTCTCAGCAGCATCAACACAGCTACGACGCCTACATTTGCACACTCTCCTCCCTGGCCTCCTGAATACCCTTATCTGATTTTCTTCCTACCTCCCCAGCAGCATCTCCTCAACTCCCTGTGGCAACTCCTCTTCCTCTATAAAACCTCAGGACTTGATTTTGGCTTTTCTCTTTCTACCTCCCAGACGATCTCATTAATTCCCATACATTTAAATATCACCTTATCCTGATGATGCCCAAACATATCTACTAGGTCCAGAGTTCTATTTTGAACTCCAGATTTGCATATTTAAATACCTACCTAACACTGCCTCTTTGATGTCTCTCAGGGATAACAAATGGACTAGACCCAAAAGAGAACCCTTGATCTTCCTCCACACCTGCCCAGCCTATCTCCCACCATGTTCTCCAACCTTGTGTTGGATGGCAACACGATCCATCAAAATGCTCAAACTAGAACCCTGGGAGGCATCCCAGATTGATACGTTTCCCTTATCCTCACATCAACTAACAAGTCCTATGAATTTTTATCTACAAAATACATCTTGAGTTCATCTTCTTTTCAGTAGAGCATAGCATTTAAGAGGGCAGGCTCTGGAGTTAGGCTATCAGAATTTAAATCACAGCAATAATAATAGCTAGCATTTATTGAGCATTTACTGTTTGCCTGACACTGTCTTAATTATTTTACATATATTAACTCTTTTAATCTTCATAACAACCTCATGAGGTGAGTACTATTATTATTATCTCTATTTTAAATTAATGCAAGAGAGGTTAAGCAACTTGCCCACTTCTGATGGAACCAGAATTCAAACTCCTAAATCTGGTTCCAGAGCTCACTATGCTAGGCTGCCTCTTGGAAAAAGGAGACTAAAAATAGGGAGATCAGTCCAAAGCTAATGCAATAGTCCAAGTAAGAAATAACAAGAATCTGAACCAGCAAAAAGTAGGGATACAAAGGAGACAAATTCAAGAAATATTCAGATAAGACCTAAACAGAGAGTTGTATCATGTTCAAGGACTGAAAGACTGAATATTATAAAGATGTCACTTTTTCCCAAATTGATCTATAGATTCAATTCCAATCAATATCCCAAGAGATTCAACTTGACATGTTGATTCTACAATTCCTATCAATCAGCAAAGCCAAGAATAGCCAAGATACTCCTGAAGAAGAACAAGAGATTTACTCTGCCAGATATCAAGAATTATTTCAAAGCTTTAGTAATTAAGACAGCATGGTACTGACTTGGACAGACAAATTAACCTATATAACAGAACACAGAACCAATAAACTGACCCCACACAACAAAAATTTGATTTATGACGGAGCTGGTATTGCTGATCAGTGAATAAAGGATGGACTTTTCAATAAATAGTGTTGGAAAATCTGGATATCTATATGGGGAAAAAAAAGGAACTGGATCCTTACCAACACCCAATACAAAAATCAGTTTTTAAAAAAATCAATTCTAGGGGCCGGCCCTGTGGCTTAGCGGTTAAGTGTGCGCGCTCCGCTACCGGTGGCCCGGGTTCCGATCCCGGGCAAGCACCAACACACTGCTTGTCCGGCCATGCTGAGGTGGCGTCCCACATACAGCAACTAGAAGGATGTGCAACTATGACATACAACTATCTACTGGGGCTTTGGGGAGAAAATGGGGAAAAAAAAAAAGGAGGAGGATTGGCAAGAGATGTTAGCTCAGGGCCGGTCTTCCTCAGCAAAAAGAGGAGGATTGGCATGGATGTTAGCTCAGGGTTGATCTTCCTCAGGAAAAAAAAAATCAATTCTAAGTGGATTAAAGACTTAAGTGTGAAAAACAAAATGTAAAACTTGTAGAAGACAATATAGGAGAATAACTCTATGGCATTAGAGTAAGGAAGAATTTCTTAGACAAGACATAAAAATCATACACTATAAAGGAAAAGACTGATAAATTATAATACACTCAATTAAGAACTTTGGAACCAAAGATACATAAAGTGAAATGACAAGCCATAAACTGGGAGAAGATATGGACTACACACATAACTGACAAAAGATGAGTATCCAAAATATACTTAAAATTCCTATAAATTAATATGAAAAAGACCCCCCCCCCAAAAAAAACTTGAATACTTCTCAGGAGAAAACATGAATGGCTAATAAACATATGAAAAGAAATAAGAAACTCATAAGAAACCAGGAAAATGCAAATTAAAACCACAATAAAATCCACACTCACTAGATTGACAGAAATTAAAACACTGACGAAATAACATATTGGCTAGGATGTACAACAACCAAAACACTTAAATGCCAAGTATACTAGGAAAAACAATTTAGCATCATCTTGTATGAAGATGCACAAACTTCATAATCCAGCAATTCCATTATTCCTATAATCCATCTGCCTGGAATATCCTCTTTCTCCATCTTAGCGTGGCCAAATCTTCCTCTTCTTTCAGATACCACATTCAGGAGGCAGAAGTAGTATTTCTACGTTCTGAACTCCTACAGCACTTCATCTGTGTTTTGAGCATATCATTTTCTAGTCTGCAACATACATTTTTATATACATACCAGTCTTGACTTGCTTACAATTTGGTAGAGAAGATGAGGACAAGAACCTGTTTGATTTGTCTTTTAATTGCACTAGACACAGCACCTGCACATGGAAGCATACAGTAAAGACTCAAAGCTACAGAATCAAGCTGTATAAAACCCAGCATGTAGTAGGCACTCAAATATTCACTGAATGAATGAATAAAAACCTGCTTAGCAGGGCCGGCCCAGTGGCACAGTGGTTGAGTTGTGTGCTCCACTTTGGCGGCCCAGAGTTCGCCAGTTCGGATGCGGAGCATGGACCTACACACCACTCATCAAGCCGTGCTATGGTGGCGTCCCACATACAAAATAGACAAAGACTGGCACAGATGTTAGCTCAGTGACAATCTTCCTCACCAAAAAAAAAAAAAAAAATGCTTTGTGACTGAGTGAATCAACCAGGTCTTACTGTACATTCAAAACATGAACTAGTGGTAAAAGGAAAATCAGAACACCAACTTTGTATCCAAAGTCTCAAATGTGTATCCAAAGTCCCAAATTAATTTTTCTCCCAGATTCTAGCCTGATGACACATAGTACAAGTTAACTATCAGCTACAAATGGAAACTACTGTGAACAAAGCAGATAAAGAAAGAGGGCAGAATAGGAGGAGGTGGAAAAAGGAAAGAGAAGGCAACAAAGTGGGAGGAGAGAATGGCAACATTGTTGGATTGTAGGTCATCTTCCATAAGAACTATAAGAGGGCAAGAAAACTATAAGAAAGCAAAGAAAAATCTATGAACCTTCAGTAATAAAACAACGAATGACAGGACAACTTATTATTATGCAGTATTTCAGGCATATAGAGATAAAAACGTATAACAAATACCCATGTACACTCCACTGAGCTTAAGAAAGAGAGCACTAACAGTTGAAGCCCTCTGTATCCTTCCCCAGTTATATGCCCCTCCAAATCCCAGAGGCAACTGTATCCTCAATTTGAAGTTAAACATTCTTAAGCATTTTGTTATATTTTTACAGCAGTGCCATCTATTAAAAAGTAGTGAATAAACTTTGTGGCAAAGGGAAGAATACGCTGTCCATCACAAGAGACTCAAAACAAAAGGGAAAACAGAGGAACAGTCAGTAAAAACTGACCAACTCTAAGACAAAGAAAGAGATGAAGATTTGGAAGATGGATAAGTGATAGTTGAAGGGGAAAAAAGTGAAGGAAAACAGTACTGAAAAAGAAGCACAGCAAAAAAGAAACAACAAAAATCAGGTTTGATGAAGAGAAACAGTTGCCTCAAAAACTGCTATACTACTTGCCTTTGAAACAAAAAAGAGAGTGAGTGCAGTTCATTCACTCAACAATCAGCACAAACTATTTGTTAGGCACTATTCTAAGGCACTAGGGATACAGCAGAGAACAAAACAAAGTCCTGCATTCACCGACCATTTATTCTAGTTGGCGAAAGAGGCAAACAAGCAAATAACACATCAGATGCTGGGAAAAAGAGAAAGCAGAGTAGAGAAGGCAGAATGCTGGTGAGGAAAAGAGGTACTTGCTATTTGATGTGAAGGTGGTTAGAGAAGGCCTCTGTGATAAAGTGACATTTGAGCAGAAACCTAAAGCAAGTGAGGAATGCAGAAGACTATTTTAGGAAGAGTAACAGCAAATGCAAAGGCCTTGAGGTGGGAGTGCGCACAGCATTTGAGGAACTACAAGAAGGCCAGATGTTGCTGGGGCAGAGCAAGCCAGAAGAGTAGACACAAAAAGTAACACGATCTGATCCACATTTTAAATAAAGTGATCATATAATTTATCATTCAAACAGGAACACTTTGGTGAGTGAAGGAGGGTGCTATTAATAGTTACCTCGGAACAATAGGCATCAGCAAGACCTTAATTTTAAAAGGCTTCTGTGTGGAGCCAGCTTGAAGGGGTTCCTCTGGCCAAATCTGGAACAATCTGATCAAAATATACAGTGATAGTAAAAGATTATAACCTATTGAATACAGTAAGAATCTATGAGGCTACATTGATAAAAATAAATAAATAAGAAGGAAAAGCTCTTTCTTACAGTAGAAAGCCAACTAATAAATGTCAAAGGAAAGACATAATTAGAAAATCATCATTTTGCAACCATCATAAAGCTAACTGATTAGGGCAAGAATCAATAAATGCTAAAATTGGTGGATGAAAGTTTGAAAAGTAATAGGATATTTATATAGTCTCAAAGTATCTCCCCACAAGATACTTACTAATTACAAAAGGCAAAATAATAAATTTACAATGGAGAAAATTGGCATAAACCACCTTAACCAAATGGTCAAAGTTAACATTGCCAGTAACAGGACCAATCAATAGCAAGTGTATCCTAATATGATATACAGAGAAGAACTCAGCATCACTTCTTAGGTATTACAACACAAAGTGCATAATCTGAATCTAATCATGAGCAAACAACAAACTCAAATTGAGGGACCATCTGCAGAATAACTGGCCTGTACTCATCAAATTGTCAATGTCATAAAAATACAAAGATTCAGGAACTGTTCTAGATTAAGGGAGACAAAAGAGACATGACAACTAAATCAACACATGATCTTGGATATTCTTCTACTATAAAGGACAATATTGGGACAACTGGCAAAATCTGAGTAAGATCCATAGATTAGATAATAGTGTTGTGTCGGTGTTAAGTTCCTGATTTTGATCATTGTACTATGGTTATGCAAGAGAATTTCTTGTTTTTAAAAAATACACACTGGGGGCCAGCCCGGTGGCGCAAGTGGTTAAGTGCACGCGCTCCGCTGTGGCAGCCTAGGGTTCGCTGGTTCGGATCCCGGGCGCACTCTGACGCACTGCTTGTCAAGCCATGCTGTGGCGGCGTCCCATATAAAGTAGAGGAAGATGGGCATGCATGTTAGCCCAGGGCCAGTCTTCCTCAGGAAAAAGAGGAGGATTGGCGGATGTTAGCTCAGGGCCAATTTTCCTCACAAAAAAAAAAAAAAATACACACTGAAATATTTAGGTGTTAAGGGACATCACATCTGCAACTTACTCTTTAACATTCAGAGAAAAATAATCCTACACCACATGATTTCACTCATATGTGGTAGATGAACTAAAAGACGGACAGAGAGAACTGTTTGGTGGTTACCAGGGGCACAGGGGTTGAGGGATGGGCACAAGGGGTGAAGGGAGGCATTTATATGGTAATTGACAAACAATAATGTACAACTAAAATTTCACAATGTTATACACCATTAAGACATCAAAAAAAAAGAAATAGGCTTAAAAATAATAATAATAATAGTAATTCTAGGTGTGTGGAGAGAGAGGGAGAAAGATAAAGCAAATATAGTAAAATATTAACATTTGAGGAATATGGGTGAAGAATATTCACAAATTCTTTGTACTATTTTTGCAAATCTTCTGCAAATCTGCAATTATTTTTTAAATGAACAAAATACACACTCTTACAAAGATTTCTGTGTAGAGAATAGACTGGGGGCAGGTGAGTGCAGAAGTGGAAGCAGGACTGGACCAATAAACGGCTACCGTAGAGTAAGGACAGAGGTCACAGAAGAGAGCAGAGTAGGAAGCTCCAGGAATTGGTCTCTCCACCAAAACAACTACTGACCTGGCAAGAGATACTTGAAACAACTATTTTGGAATTCTGGAATCTAGTTGAACACTCTCAGGATCCAAAAGAGTGCTTGATGAAGACAGGCTGGCAAATTTTAGTGAATTTCAGCATTTGGCATAGCATCTATCATTCTCCAGCTCCCAGTCCCATGGCAGGCAGCTGTGGGGACAGTAGCTCAAGATTCTGTTGCAACTTGCTGGTGCCAGGGATCTTGTCCTCCAAAAATCAAAGTTACGTGTTTTGATCACTGCTTTTGATTGCTGAGGAGCTGGCACAGAGGCTGGCCATTGTTTCGACCCCCATGGCTGAAGTGGCTTCCCTAGCAGAGTCAGAAACAGCAATTTAAAGAAACAGAATACTCTTTTTTTCTTCTTTTCTTTTTATATTAGATCCAAGCATTTAAGGAAATCTCTGTCTAGTCACTTGTTGACCACGGACATAACAAAAGACACTTCAGTGACCACACACAACAAGGAATATACTCTGTGCAAAAACAGTTTGGAAAAGTCACTGAACAAATGGATGACTGCAGCTTTCATCAAGCAACAACAGTAATCTCTAGGGAGGGAGTAGATCTGATTTCCCACGTTACCACATTGCAATACTCAAAATTACAAAGCATACAAAGACACAGGAAAGTATGGCCCATTCACGGGAAAAAAAGAAATTGACAGAAACCATCCCTGAGCAAGCCCAGATACTAGACTTACTAGACAAAGACTTTAAATTAACTGTCTTAAATATGCTCAAAGAGCTAAAGGAAACCGTAATATAACTAAGGAAATCAGGAGAACAATGTATGAACAAGTAATCAACAGCAATAAAAAGACAGAAATTATAAAAAAGAACCAAATAGAAATTCTAGATAAAAAAGTATAATAGCTGGAATTAAAGATTCACTAGAGGGGTTCAACATCAAATTTGACTAGGCAGAAGAAAGGAATCAGTGAACTTGAAGATAGGACAACTGAAATTACTCAGGCTAAGGAGCAAAAAAAAGATGAACAGAGGCAAAGGGGCCTATGGTACACCATCAAGTGTACCAACATACACATTACGAGAGTCCCAGAAGGGGAAGAGGGAGAGCAAGAGCCAGAAAAAATATTTGAAGGAATAATGGTCAACAACTTTCCAAATTGATGAAAGACATAAATCTACACATCCAAGAGCTCAACACATTTCAACAGGATAAATTCAAAAAGATCCACACTGAGACACATTATATTCAAACTGTTGAAAAACAAAGAGAAAATCTTCAAAGCAGCAGAAAGTGACTTATCATACATGAGCGACTCTCAATGAGATTAATAGCCAATATCTTATCAGAAACCATGGAGGCCAGAAGGCAGTGGGATGATAATTTAAAGTGCTGAAAGTAAAAACTGTTGACCAAGAATTCTAAAATGAAGGAGAAATTAAGACCCTCCTCAACAAAAGCTAAGGGAGTTTATCTACTTAAGGGAGTTTATCATGAGTAGACCTGCCCTACAAGAAATGCTAAAGGGAATCCTTCAGGATGAAATGAAAGAACACTAGACAGTACTTCAAAGTCAAAAGAAGAAATAAAGATCTTAACTTGTAATCAATAATTCAAAGAGACTTATGCACCCCTATATTCACTGCAGCATTATTCACAATAGCCAAGACGTGGAAGCAACCCAAGTGTCCATCGACTGATGAATGGATGAAGATGATGTGGTATATATATATATATATATATACACACAATGGAATACTACTCAGCCATGGAAAAGACAAAATCGTCTCATTTGCAACAATGGATGGAACTTGAGGGTATTATGTTAAGCGAGATAAGCCAGTCAGAGAAAGACAAACACCATATGATTTCACTTATATGTGGAAGATAAACAAATAAATGGACAAAGAGAACAGATTAATGGTTACCTGAGGGGAAGGGAAGGAGGGGCATAATGGGTGAAGGGGCACATATATATGGTGACTAACAAATAATAATGTACAACTGAAATTTCACAATGTTATAAACTATTATGACCTCAATAAAATAAAAAAAACAAATAAAGATCTTACAAAGGTTAGGTAGGTAAATATAAAAGCTAGCATAGTGTATTTTTGGTGTTTAACTTCTCTTTTTGTTTCCTATATGATTTAAAGACAAGTGTATAAAACAATAATTATAAATCTATAGTTAACAGGCACACAATGTATAAAGATGTAATTGGTGACAATCACATCATAAAGAGGGGAACCAGCTGGATAGGAACAGAGTTAATGTATCTTCTTTTTTTTAATTGAGTTATAATTGACATATAACACTATATTAGTTTCAGGTATACAGTATAATGATTCAATATTTGTAAATATTGTAAAATGATCACCACAATAAGTCTAGTTTAATGTATGCTCTTACAGCTAAGTTGGCCTCAATTTGAATTGAATTAAACTGCTATAAACTTAGGATATTAACTGTAATCGCTATGGTAACCACTAAGAAAATAACTAAAAATATACACACAAAAAAAGCTTTCCCTCTAAGATCAGGAATAAGACAAGGATGCCCACTTTCACCACTGCTATTCAACATTACACTGGAAGTCTTAGCAAGAACAGTTAGGCAAGAAAAAGAAATAAAAGGCATACAAATTGGAAAAGAAGAAGAAAAACTATATTTATTTGCAAATGACATGATTCTACATACAGAAAATCCCATAGAATCCACAAAAAAACTACTAGAGCTAATAAATGAATTCAGCAGACTTGCAGAATATGAGATCAACACAAAAAAATCAGTTGTGTTTCTATACACCAGCAACGAACAATCCAAAAACAATATTAAGAAAACAATTCCATTTATAGTCGCATCCAAAAGAATAAAATATATAGGAATAAATTTAACCAAGGATGTGAAAGACTTGTACATTGAAACTACTAAACATTGCTGAAAGAAATTAAAGATGACATAAATAAATGGAAAGACATCCCATGTCCATGGATTGATAAACTTAATATTGTTTGGGCCGGCCCCGTGGCTTAGCGGTTAAGTGCACGCGCTCCGCAGCTGGCGGCCCGGGTTCAGATCCCAGGCGCACACTGACACACCGCTTGTCCAGCCATGCTGAGGCCACGTCCCACATACAGCAACTAGACGGATGTGCAGCTATGACATACAACTATCTACTGGAGCTTTGGGGGAAAAATAAATAAATAAAATTATAAAAAAAAAAACAAAAAAAAACACTTAATATTGTTAAGATGGTAATACCCCCAAAGCCATTTATAGATGCAATGAAATCCCTATTAAAATTCAATGGCCTGTTTTGCAGAAAGAGAAAAGACA